TAATATCATTGGACTTTATTTGTTGGGGGAACAGGTTACATGCATACAGACTAGCGAACACCCTGATGCATTATGTTCACAATGCCATATAAACGCTTTGGCCTGAAAACAACTTCCAAACCAAATGAACCAACAATTTCAACCAGTCATTTTTCTTCACACAAGCTATATATCACCAAATACACAGGGTGTAAAGTGTAAACACGCGTCCGCTGTTATACGATATGCCAGTAGAGTTGAGGAATTATTATTATTATAAAAACAAATACATGAATAAATTCAAAAAAAGAAGAAATTTGTCGCGACAAAAAAACGCGCTAGCGCAAATTATCATTCCAATATAGTATATAAAAAAATTGTCGAAAATATTTAAGAAAGAAAAACTTCACATGCTCTCCATGTGAACCCGAAATTTAGAAGGGAAAAATAAACAAACAAACTATAATATCTTTGACAGAAGCTGAGCAGAGAAGAAAAGAATATAAAACTCAAACTCCACTCTCTTGTGCCCAAATGCAAAGCACTAGTGCAAGATTTGCCAGTCAGCAGTTATTCTTATAAACACATCCGAATTCCCAATGCAGAAGAGGATATAAACAGCGATGACAACCAAAAACGTCCAAATCCACTGCCGATACATTTTCTTGTTCCGATTTCGCAATGCTGGTGGGATGACAGTTGCCTGAATCTTTTTGACCACAACAGACGTCTCTTCCTTGTTTTCAATTTCCTTTCTACTTTCCAAGCCCACCTCAGAGTTGGCCACGCTTTCACAATTGTCGATATCATCCGAGGCGTCATTCTTTTTTGCTCTTTTTCTTTCTTTCTTTTCCAGTCTCCTCAGCCTCTTCTGCATCTCATAAATAATTTGAATTTGTATAGGAGAATGTTGCCAAATAAGGTTTGTTTCCACAAGTGGTTTTTAACAAGTTATTGAGTTAATCAGAGATTTAATTTTAAAACCCCAATTTCTAGATTCTGATTAAAGACAAGAATTTACGTGTTCCCAACTGATCAAAGACTTTGATACCACCTATTTTCAACCTTTTCTTTT